ACGAGCACTGGCAAAGGCGTCGTCACCGCCTATTGGCCCGTGCGCGGAGGTACTGTAGATACTCAACACGATAACAGATACAATCAATCAATCCGCTTCCTCACTATAGTATTTGCAGCTGCAAGTTGATTCACCACGTGCACCTTTATCGTGCCAACAGGAATTTTTTTTTTTATTTATATACCAATATACAAACATTATGACACTTCACGAACACACATACACATATTTACCACGCATGTGAACCAACCACCAAGTCAACCCCCCCCCCCCCGCGTTTAAAAAAAAACAAAAAACAAAAAACAGAATCCCCCCTACCCCACCACCACAGCCTCTCTTCTCCCTTCTATCCTCGGCATCCATACTCCGACATATCTCAGCCCTACCACAGACTCCCCCTCCCCCCTTTTTCCTCAAAAAGCAAGGTGAAAGTGGGGGGGGGAAGAGCAAACTAGGAAGAAAAAGAAAATAAGGAAAACGGTAATGCATATGAAATGCCGAGCCGGGTGATTTAGATATACCGACGAGTTAGGGACTACAAGGGAGTTAGTTGTGGATGGGATGGGGTGTGTAGCAGAGGAGAGTAAAGTGGAAGATTAGAGTTGGTTAGCTGTAGTATGGATGATAAGAAACATCACTCTCATAGTCCAAACATATCTGAAGAAACATGATCCATTTGTTCGCTCGACGCAAAAACAAAGACTATCGAATCCGCTACGTCTGGGCATGCATGTTCTTGTCTGCATTTCATCATTAAGCCATATACTAATGACCCACACTCAACCTCTTCAGTGTTCATCCGCTAGTCGACGGTCTCCCACTGCTCACTCCTCCTCCGAAATAAGTGTATATCATTACGCATGTATGTAGGTCGCTGGGCAAAAGGCAAGAAAAACAGTAAACCCCCCAAAAAACACCTTTGTGTGAGACACAAGTGACAAGCATAGTCAAGTACGCCCCACGTTGAGCCCCGCCGGGCTTGCCACACACCTCTTCCAGTCGAGGCTGAATATCGAATTAGACGCCAAGAGTTTAAAAAGGCCTGTCCGTTGCTTCGTGGGTATCGTTTGTCGTTACGTCGTGAGGTAAGGGATGGTCCAGAGGACGATCCAAAGAGTAGCCAAAGTGATAATCTGGGCGACTGCAATGTAAAAGGCTGCAAGAGAAGAGCTAAAAAGTGTAGTCGCAAGATGAGGGGTATCGAGAATGGCGAAGAAGTAGGTAACCCAGATTCAAGTGTTGAGATCCAGAACGGGGCGTATCAAAGGTAAGGTGCGAATCAAAGAAAGCCAATTAAAACGGCTTAATGTGTGTGTGTGTGTCGTTTAGAAGCGGGTGGTTGAGCTACGGGTTAAGCTGGGTCTCGGTCCCTTCTTTTGAGGGGATCCGTTCGGGGCAACAGCCAATTGTCTAGCTCCAATCTTCTCGAAGCCTTGCAGCAGGTCAATGCCTGGCTCGGACTCGTCACTATGGAGAAGATGGAAAATGTCTTCGTCGTCTTGCTGTTGCGACTCGGACTTTGCAGGTGCAGGGAATGACTGAGGGGGTGTGAGAGCATTGTGGCCCTTGTTCTTGATTATGCTGGGATGAGCGAATTCAGCGGTTGGGGTGTCCATGGGAGCCTTGAGCACAGGAGCCTTGATAGGTGACAGGCTCTTGACAGGCGACAGGTCAGGGATGTTGAGGAAGGAGGACGACATCTTCCAGTTGGGCGTGGGCGAGTTAGTCTTGGAGCCGGTGATATCGGCAAGGATTCCACTAGTGGTGACGGCGCGCTCGAGACGAGGACGCTTGGCTGAGCGCTTGATGGGGCTCTCGTTGTAGCCAAAGTCGCCAAAAATGTCAAAGGTGCTCTCGAAGCCATGTCCGACAAGGTTGACGTGCTCCTCATTTGGAATGGCGACGGCGGGGCTCCAACTCTTGTTGTCAAGGAAGGAAGTGTCGACCCACATGGCGAGGCTCTTGTCTGGCGAGCCGCCAACCAGCTCGCGCATCTTGTTGCGGTGGTTGCGCAGGTTAGTGTTGGGCGACGCTGATGCAGGGGGCAGGGCCGGACGCTTGAAGACGATAGCAGGGGTTAGAGGGTCGTGAATCTTATCGCCTTTGCGAAGCGGTGACGAGATCATGTGGGTACTGCCAGCTTGCTTCATGTGGGTCCGCGTCTTAGTGGGAGAATCGTAGGAGGAACCTCGAATGCGGGCAATCTCTTCCTCTGCACGTCCTCGTTTCAGGCTGGGACGATCGAGATCGGCTTCGGATGTGAGCAATGGGCCTGCCGGGTTGCCCTTGATTGCTGAGGATTCGATGGATGAGTAGTAGCCGCTGTCTCCAAGGCCGTTGAACTTGCGCTTTCGTCCGCCGGAACGGCTGTGCGACGGGAAGCGTGGAGCACGCGGCGGCGTGTCCTCACGCACCGAGCGCGAGCGCGAGACTGGAGGAGGCGGCGATGAATGAATGTCTGCTGGTGGTGGCGAAGATGGTATCTGGCGAGGCGGTGGCATGCTTAGAGGATCCTGTCCGTCGTGCGCAGCTGGATCCGAACACGGAATAGTGGCTTCTGAAGAAGGCAGGTCGTTGTCTTCAGGGTGCTTGCTCGAGTCAAAGCCCTTTGTCGAGCTTAGAGGTGGGAAGCTGGCTGTGGCAGATGGTGAAGGACGGGGAAGATCGCTGGTGTATACTGGTGCGAAGGACTCTGGCGGGGCCGGGCGGCGGATGGGCTTGACCTTGTGGTACTGCTTCTCGAATCCGGCGTTGATGACCCAGTAATGGCCCTTTCCTGGATCGTCCTTGGGCCGCTCTTGCTTGGAGAATGACTTGCTCAGGCTGAGGTTGTGGCGGATGCTGTTCTGCCATCCAGTCTCTTGTGAGTTGCGGTAAAAGGCAAAGGTGTCTGAGATCCACTTGTAGATTTGGGCAAGTGTTAGTCTGCGGTTTGGTGCGCGTAGAATGGCCATGCCAATGAGCATGGCATAGCTGTACGAGGGCTTGTTGCCATCGTCTTCTACGCTGGGCATTTGGTCGGGATCGGGCAATGGGCCGTCGACTTCCTCGGTTTTGATGTCTTTGATAACTTTTTGCTTCTTGGTGGTTGAAGCAGAGTGAGTGGTAGTGGTGTTGAAGTTGGTTCGGTCGCGCAGTGGGGCGCTAGGGGTCATGAGCGGCTGCTTGGACGCGTGCTTCATTGGTGGCTCTGTTGGCGACGTGGCGGACAGGACGGGTCCGGCATAGTAGGCGTTTTCTTTGTCCATGTGGGAGGCGTGGCTAGGCCAGTACTGGAGATGGCCCGCCATTGAATGGGCGTGGTGCAGCTGCTGCGAGAGGGTGGGTTGGTCCTTCTTTGCAGGCGCGTCGGTGCGGAAGCGCTGCTCCTTTGGAGGGGGTATCTTGAGCGTGTCGAGGCCCTTTTGGACGAGTGCGGTGGGAGGTGGAGAACTGGAGACTTGGCGGGCCTTGCGGGGCGAGGGTTTGGCGGTGTGGGCAACGGGGGGAGCAAGAAGGGTGTTCGCAGCGTTGGACACGTCGGCGATGTGGGTGACAGGGTGGGTGTGGCGGGTGTCAGCGGCGTTTGCTGGGCGTGGTTGGTGGTGTAGATGGTGAGGCTGCACAGGGTCCTGAAAAATCTGCATGGAAGGGTGTCGACGCGCTGCAGCCATAGCGAGACCAAGCTGCAAGGGCTCCGACAGCCTTGTATAGTCTCTCCAGACGCTATGACGCGTGAAGTCGCGTGTCGGGAAGCAAAATGGAGGCGTCGGGCCTACTGAGCACGGTCGGTGCGGGAGGTGAGTGTCGAGATTGCGCTGACGATTGCCAAGCGCGTGGTTGAAGAGGCGGTAAGGTGCAGGCTGTCAACTATGGGCGGACGGGTGCAGCGTAGCATGTACAAGGCAATTTTGACGCGACAGAGGGCAGAAAGGAGGCAGTTTGGGGGGTGGTGGGACGTGGAGTGTCTAATCCCGTGCGGCCAGGTGAGGCAGCGGAGCAATTCGCTTGTACGCGCTAACAAGCAAGCTGCGACGAGTGCTGGAGTAATGGCGGGTCCGCAGGGTGGAGCGGTGTAGCGTTGCTTTTGGGTATGCAGGTAATTGAGCGTTCAATGGGAGGCAATTGAGCAGGTGAAAGGGGGGCAAAGGGGGGAGGGTTGTGTGGGAGGTGGAGGATGAGGAAGAGGGTAAGCGGGGGTGAAGGAAGAGAGAGGCAGACAAACAGGCAGGTAACAAGAGAGGGAGCGAGAGAGAGACGCGGACGCGGACGCGGTGGACGGGGTCTGGCTTGGGTGTTTGGCTGGCTGGCTGGCTGGCCTTAGCCATTACCGTGACCTATCCCCATCTACTTACGCCCGCTACCTTGTCGTGTCTATTCGTACCGTGTCTGGTCTGGGTACATAGTAGCCTGCTTGGCCTGCCTTGCCTTGGTTTGGAGGAATCACGGCCTGGCTTCGTGCAGCTTACCACGCTTGGCTGCCACTGTGCAGAGTATACCTGCAAGGGCGTCGAGCCAATCACCGCCCCCAAGCACGCGTTCCCTTGGATCCGGCCCACGTCATGCCCACTCCCCCCCAGTCGACCTCTATCCTCGCCCATCTCCAGCACCATCCTCGTGCCGGCACTTGACACTAGCCAGCTGTTCGCCATGCCCGCCATGCCCGCCCGCATAAACACTCAATCTTCCCTCTGTCGGCATCTGGACCACACGCCCCTTATGCACCGCTGCCATTGAATCGGAGCCCATCTGGCCACTCGCCGCCACGTCCACGGGCTCGGTGGAAACATGTGCACGCCTCGACGAAGCGCCCGCTGAAACAGGCGCTCCAGCAGCGTCAACGTCGCGGCGGCCAGCCCGTCCGTGGATAGCATCTGTCTACCGTATGCTAGTTTCCTTACATGTCTGCCGCCCGCAGCCTATCCGAGCCCTCAGCGAGCCATCTTCCGATCCAGCCGCTAGGGGCGCATGAAACTCGACAACACCGACCCTGGCTCATAGCGCCCACCTCAGCTCGCCCACCGCAGGCAGCCACAGCACAAGCCCGCTGCCCTCTACCCTAACCCTGCACTGACACAAAAGCCCACGACACTCCTGCCTGTCTGCCCATCACCCGCCCGGTCCAGACGCTTCTTTGTCCTCTGTCCCGCCCACGATGCTCATTTCGATCGCTACAACTCCTGCCGCACGGCTCTCCAGACACCACGGCAATCGCAAACACGCACAATGGGACATGCGCGCTCGCCCAACGTCGAGGCATCGTTTTTCTGTTCCTATCGCGCAATGCTGCTAATCTCATCCTTAACTGGGCAATACGCTTGTCCTAGTGTACCCCCCCCTCTCTCTCTCCGTTGTATTCCGTCTTTTCATGCGACTGTCCGACTTTAGGTAGACTACCACCAACTATCTCCACGCGCCAGTGAATGCACCCCACTCAACTGCCGTCTCTGCAGCTCACCATTGTTCCCATTATCCGGGTTACGCCTATCTTTGTTTTCTTCCCCTTCCCTTCCTTTCGGGCTTTGAAAACTCCATATACCCTTGCTTCGTCAGTTGTGCCTTGATTTCTCGAAGCCCGACGCTAGCCAGTTGTCAAAAAACGTCTGTGGTTCTTTTAATATCCCCTTAAGCGAGAGAGGCCAGCTTTGCCTCTCTTGCCCTTTCCAGCAAAAAACAGAAATCACGATCCACCGCCCGCTCCTGCCCGCCGTCCGCACACCCACCCGCCGGACCTCTCTCCGATGATTTGCCAGACTGTGGGCCCCGCGGCGGGCGCATCATTGCTGATCATCCTCTCTCTCTGTCCACCATCTGAGCACCGCGTCCACCGCAAATTGTTCATAACCCGATTACCGAACTTATTATTTTATTTCCTTTTTTTTCGGCACTAGCATAACTTCATCACCGAGCCTTAATTCAAACTAACGACGTCATTCTTCCCCCCCGAACTGACTCGCTCCCCCTACCCGTCCCGTAGGTGTTAATCCTCTCTTAGCCCACCGGCCCTCTTCGATCCCGATTACAATCGGCCAACTCTTCTACCACATATCCTTGCCCTCATCTGTCCTTTGCTCACCCAAAATACCCATGTTACCCCTGCGTTGTCAACGTCTCTTGCACAAACTAAGACATGTCACACTGTCACTTCACAACAAGCATCATCCCTTTCTACACCTCTACCCTACAGCCAAAGAAACCCTAATACAAAATAAATCTAACAAGGATGATATTACAAAAAAGATTTCCGTATCCGTATTCCCACCCACTAATCTACCCATACCTCATCTTGAACAACTCACCTGATTTTCGCAATGTCTCGACATAGTGCTCACCCTTCGTCATCGTCGTCGTCGTCGCCGTCGCTGTCGTCTCGAAACCTTATGTCGAGACCTCCCCCTTACCCCCCCCCTTTTTTTTCCTTTAGGTTGTTCGTGAGGCAGCAAATCGGAAAGAAGGAAGGAGGAAGAAAGGTTACGAGTCAGTTGGTGTATCTCCCCGAGTGAGTCACCAAACAACCGGTATGGTCTAGACTCTGGCAAACGGTAGATGGTTAATAGCGGTCAACCAACGGAGAATGAAGGATCCATGTTGGACAGCGCGCCATCTACACATGCCGAGAAAGGAAAGCTTTGATTTTTTTTGTTCCCCAAGGGCGTATATATCCGAGTTAACTGTCATCCATCTTTCCTCTTACACGCCTCGGTACGGCAAGAGAAAACTGCGTGATTGAGATTCCCATTCCATCGTCATGACGTTGAGTGTCAAAGAAACATCATTGCCTCCCCCATTCTATATTACCCATGTGAACAAGGAAACATGTCTAAAACCATCTCACTTTCATGATATCATCTCTTCCAATCGCATTTACTTCCGTGACCCAATCCGTAACCCAGGCACCCCCTTCAACCCCATCTTGCCCACCGTCGACTTCTCCAGCATCGGCGGCTCAGGGCACCCCATCGTATATGCATACTCATTCGCCAGCTTAACCAGCTCCGCCGTCGACAGCTGCAGCTTCTTGACAAACGTCTTGTTGTAGCCCAGAAAAGCCTGGTACGCTTTCGACTTGGACACTTCCTCCACGTCGACAAAGGCCCGCTCAATCTTCGGCTGGTGAGCAGCCAGTCGCGACACAATGTCGACAGGGTACGGCTGGATGGGCAGCGTCTTGTTGACGCGTGGGAAGAAGGATTCTTGCTCGAATAGGATGATGACTGCGCGTCCATCCTTACCTGCACGCGCCGTGCGACCCACGCGGTGGACGTATTGTTCGGTGCTCGAAGGGAGCCCCACTTGGATTACGAGCCCAACATTGGGAAAGTCCATGCCGCGCCCAACCACGTCAGATGCAAATAGAATTCCACTTGACGCCTCCTTGAAGTCTTTGGTCGTCTTCGTTCGAGCGGGCTGCGACATGCGGCTGTGCAGCTCAAATAGCCGGAACTCAGGGAGTGCGTTGCGATACAGGTCGTAGAGCAGACCCACGCCGTTTGCCGTCGTGCCAAAGACAATAGCCTTGAAGTCCGTAGGGTTCTGGTTGTATTCTTCCTCGATCAATGCGGACAGTGCAGGAAACGTTTGACCAACGGTAGGAACAGTAATGAAAAATTGTGGCACCCGCTCATGCGTGGGCACTTCATTGGGATCCACTGTCGAGAGATGCGTATAGCCAGGGAATAAGACAATCTTTGCAATATCGAGCACTTCTTTGGGCAGCGTTGCAGAAAAGCACATACCCTGCCAGCCGTCATTCTTTGGTGGGATGCGTCTCAGGATCTTCTTGACTGCAGGTGCAAAGCCAGCATCCAGCATCTGATCGGCTTCGTCTAGCACCACCGTCTTCAAGTGCGAAAACTTGTCGCGAACTTCCTCTTCACCCAGAATATCGTCCAGTCTTCCGGGTGTTGCTACCAGAACAGTAGGGTTGCCGTTCATGAAAGCCTTGAGATTCGACGCACGCGAGGTACCGCCAAACGCAGTGTGACACTCCATCTTCTGTGGCAGACATGCCGTCACACCGTTGCACTCCTTGGCAATCTGCAGAGCCAGTTCGCGCGTGGGGCAGATGACGAGGATAGCGACCTTGCCTCTTGGGGGCATGTTGCCAGCCAGGAGGTTCTGAATTGCGGGAAGTAGGAAAGCCACCGTCTTGCCTGTACCCGTCTTTGCCTGGACAACACAGTCGGATGATAGTGAGGGAAGCTCTGTTAGAACCTTTTGCTGAACCGGGGACATGTATCTGTCGTCGTTAGTTGAGCCTCCAACGCCAACACGCAAAGTGAGGAGCAATATCCCGCCTCATCACGTATCCTGCTTACTGGAATCCCATCTTGTCCAAGCCGTCAAGCAATCCTGGGTGTAGCCTATCCTTCAACTCGGAAAACGGCTTTGGGGCCGCATCGCCTGCCGCCGTGCTGTACATTTGTCGCACATCGACGCTCGTGTCGGGAGTTGGCTGCGTGTTTTCCATCTTCGGGCGTTTGGGCTGCTGCGACATTGTCGAGCGAGGCGTTGACGTCCCGGGTGTTGCTGCACCTCCATTTGTACGATCTCCGCCACCGCCTCCTCCTCCTCCTCTGCCGCGAGGCCACTTGCGCTTTGGTGGTGGAGGCATCGTTGATAGTTGTGTTGCTTGAGTGTGATGTCTGTTGTGGAAGCTAAGGGGGGCTGTTGAAAAGCAGCCGAGTTTTGTGTGAGTTACTAGGGACGAGCGCGAGGGAACAAGGCGAGCAAGAGCGATCGAGCGCAATGGACGAGATACTAAAACTTGTTCTATTATCTTCATTCGTACATACACATGAAGTCCTCCGCAAGAGACTCGGCAAAGTACAGAAACTGTGGTTGTTGTGAAAAGGGGAATTTGCTGGAAAGCGGTCCAGCACAGTGTTTGTGAAACGACCAAAAAAAAGTTCAGTGCACGACGTCAGTCTGTGCTTCAACCGCGTCGGAGCTGAGTCAGCTCGTTGCCCTGCACTTTACCATTGTCAGCACTCGTAATCCATCGTCATTACTATTACCACTTCAACTATATTATCAAGAAAATCTTGTAGCATCTGAATTTTGTTGAGAATAATACCAAATAGCAAGAGTAGAGCACAAATGCCGCATATGCTCTATACTATGGTCAGGCCAAATAGGGACAATTGACCAAGAAATGTAGGAGTATTAAAGAGTGACGCACCCTGGAGTTATGTCTTCCTTTTCTTTGCAGCAGAGGGTGAGATTTCTTTATTTTCATTTTACACCTGGGTACATACGCGCCGACTATTTGCATATCCAATCGCTTTTTTAACTACATTGGCATCCCCCTTCTCCCATCATCGACCCCACTCAATATATTGACTAGAATTCTCGATCCAGTTTCTGTGCGGCCGCTGGTAATGCTCATGCCAAGCGAACGCACCAGTCAAACGATCGTACATGTCAACATACTCTGTTGTTTCCATGTACATCCACCCAACCTCTTCAGAAACATCATCCGTCTCGCCGCCCTCCCAATCCCTACTAATATGCATGTGAGGGACGTCTACTTCTTCTTCTAGCTCCCAGTCCGTAGTAAGAATCTTCATCGCTGGGTCTCTTGCCTCAGGTTCTTCAGGCCATTTCTCTACCGAGTGCAAGCAGTCTTCATCCACGAAGATGCAGTACTTCCATCGAGGCGGCACAAGACTTGCAGGATGCGTTGTGTCGGGCACATTTTGTGCGTCATTGCCGAGTAATTTTTCACGAACCTGCGCGAGTCCGCCCAGTTCCTCCAGGCACTCGCCGCGAAGCTGTTGGAGTAAGTCATTGGCTACCCACGCACGAAATGCGCGGCGTGCGGTGTACGAATCTGCGCTACAAAGTGTTGCTCCGTCTTCAATAATTGTAATCTCGTGGTGCGGGAGCAGGTCTAGTTCATCATCCACTTGTAAGCTATATTCGACTCTGGTACGAAGGATTTCGAGGAACTGTGCCCATAGCTCATCATTGGAAGGACCATAGGCTGTGCGGACGATGAAGAAACCCCATTTGCTGTCTGGTTGTAAGTATGGGTTTGCGAGACTGGTTTGCGAGACTGGTTTCGGTGGCATGGTGTCGTTTGTGGTCTCTGGGCGTTCGTTTTAAACCCCACTCTCTCATTTGTCTGATGATTTCAGCAGTCTAGGGAGATTCGTCTGCTGACATGGTGTGTTGATACCCCACAGGAGATGTGCGAAACGGTGGCTTGAAGTTGAGTAGAACAGGACTTTGATACTTAGCACACGATGGAAGGATAAGACTTGAACGATTGATGCGTGGGAAACAATGCGAACTTGTTGGATAGACAAACGCCGCATTGGTATTGGTCGGATAAGCCTTGATGTGGCGACGATCAACAGCTCCTAATATAATGAGCAGGTATGCAGCAAAGCAGAAAATTAGATCACACTTGACCATATTCGATAAAGCTTGGGCAAGCAAGGGTCCTTGATCTGACGACCCGCAGGTGCATATCAACACTGTGCAAGCTGATATTTCGAGCACTTTGCGATTATAAAACGATTGTTGGGGTATATATGAACGAGATCAGTGGCAAACCCAATCCAACTGAACGCCTGTGCCTCCTTCATTGCAGATAGAAGCCAACAAGGCGAACCTAGCGGCTCCATCATCTTCGTAGCTAAAGGGCGAAGCAGGCTGCAGCTTCTAAACCCAAATTTCGCAGTTTGAGTAGTTGTGTGCCATTGTCCAGTTTGTGCTGCTGCTTTGGTTCATCTATGACGAGACCTTTGCATCAAGATACTCGCCGGTCGATCTGTCAGCAAGATATGTCACTTTTTGGAAGTTAACCCGAAAACGATGAATATCAGAAGTAATTTCCTTCCTGGATATGCAACTCATCTACCGGGAGTCATGACATCTTCAGAAGAAGTGTAGGCCGCTTGAATGACTATTCTCGCTGAGGTCAGGGAACTTTAAGATATTTCAGCAATAACGTCAGGAAATTCGTAACCGCATGCTGTACTTTGATTCTCGACAAGTTAAAAAAACGGGCATGAGGCTATAGCCACGGAACCCATTGAGAATCCGACCAAGGCAGCGAAGTACTTTGCGACTCAGATGAATAAATTGAAACACATTGACAGTTCTGTTGGAGCAGAGCAGAATATTAAGAACAGTATTAAATTCAAGCACAACACTCTTAACCAGCATATATCCCTTTCCACATATCCACACTCTGCATCACACCCTCCTGCAGAATAATTTCCTCAAAGCCCACAAACAATAGCCCCAAACTCATTCTTTGTCGCCTCCCACCACGCGGCCTCGACCGCACCAGGACCGCAGGTACTTGGTGTCGTGAACTTCCACTCAAGCAATCCGTTCTCGCCTCCGCACCAGGCATCGGAAATGGGGCAGTCGCCCTGAAAGCTCTTCATGTTATCCCAGAGGCCGCCGCACCAGCCGGGAATGCCGTAGACGTTGTCGGCAGTTACTCGCCATTTGTGTACCCAGCCGCCTTCGTAGCCGCAGGTGGCGGAGAGGGCGGTGGCAGGAAGGATGATGGTGAGGCCGAGGGTTGTGAACTTCATTTTGGGGGATGGAGCGATAGATTCGATTCAGTAATGTAATTCGTAAATTGGTTTGGTTTTGATGAGCAGAAGAGTATGAGGAAGGAATTGATGGTAAGATGTGTTGGTGATTCCATCTGCTCGATGACAACTTGAGTTTATATACACACAGCCAAGATCATTGAGCTGTTCATGACCACGAACAAGTCCTCTAGTAACACTATGCAATCAACTACACGGGAAGTATATCCCTTGGCTTTCCGGCAGTGCTTCACGATCCCCTCCAATTACCAACCTATACTCAAGGCAAAAGTTGCTGAGTACCTCCCCATCCGGAAACTCCAAGCACAACTCACCAACCCGCCTCACGCTTCCCCAAGCCACGCACCGCAACCCAACTCCACCCCTCGACATCACCGAAGATCAATTCCCCCATCTCCTCCTCTTGGCACCTCATCACCTTTCTTTAGCAACAACCCCCCAACGACCCTGCATACATTTTCCCCCCTACCCACAAAAGCACCGATCTACCCTCCGCCATTCCACCGTGCACCAAACTCCTCAAATGCGATTCGCCCACGCACCGCCCGCCTTAAACCCAAGAAAAAACCCCAAGACCCCAACCATGTTTGGGGTCCGAAAGCACGGTACCGATACCCATAGCGTCCGCTGCGGGTAAGGCGTTCCACCCGCGAGGGGGGGGGATACCAAGACAAAACCAGGCGTCCCAGCCCTGCGCTCCGCCTCGAAAATGCCCCACTGGGTATCGGGACGCCTGGGTTGATCTTTGCCTTTGCGAATGCAAACACAGATCTTTTTGAGAAAATGGAAATCGGACCTTTCGAGATTGCATAGGCTAACTGAGTTCTTCCCCGCCCCCCTAATGGGCTCCACTCACACTGTGGTTTTTATGATTGGGTGGCTCGGGACGTTGGGAAGGGGGAGGGTGAGGGTGGGCTCGGTGGAATGGAGTGTCTATCATTTTCTCTATGGGGTAGTACTTGAGAAGTCTCGGCGTTGGGGCCTGAAGGAAATTGGAATCACCAACTCACCAAGAGAACTTTCGCTTGTTTTGTCCTGAAAGAGAAATGAATCAAGACCATCTTCTTCACTTAGGATAGTGATACCCTACACTTCCATCTTGGCCATATCTCTATAAATCCCCTTCAAAAAAAGTCCCAGTTCACTTCACCACTTTCATCAGTCTTTCCAACCTTCCAACCCCCAACATCCACATCCTACAACCTTTCTCCTCAATTGCTTCTCCACAACCACATCCCAAAAATGCACTTCACCACCCCCCTATCCCTCTCCCTTCTCCTCCCCCTCCTCTCAACCACCGCCTCAGCCGCAAGCTGCACCATCGACGGCAGCGCTGCAGCCTACCACTGGGAAGTCCGCGCCAGCGGCGTCTACGGGATCCCCGGGTGGTGCGGCGGCCTGTGGGACAACCTCAACAGATGGGGCGGACTGTGCAATCCTTCTTATCCATATTGTAATGGGCAGGACGGCGAGATGGTGTGGAGGTTTACGACGAGTGTGGGGTGTATGAGGGGGCATGTTGAGTCGGTTTGGTAAGTTTTTTGTTTTTGATGGGGGGGTTTTTTTTGGGGGGGGGGAGGACAGGCTAACGAGGAGAAATAGGTGGGAGGCGACTAAGAATGAGTTTGGGGCTATTACTTGTGTGGATGCGCCGGAGAAGAAGAGGGAGGTGCTGGATGCACCAGAAAAGATGAAGAGGGAGGATTTTAAGGCTTGAGCTAGAGGTGATTTATGGGGATGGTGCTAAAGGGGTGGGCTGGAGTGTGAGTGAAGGAGTCTTAGGCATGTGAGGATTGTTGTGATCATTTCTAGCAGTGCAATATAATTCGCTGTTTCAACTTAGTAAAGTGGACACCAACAATAGATTGAGCTCTCAGAGATGTTCACTGACGTTATTGTTGATACCACTTTCATAACAAGACAACCAGCATCCGACATTCTCACTCTTGAAAAGAACGTTGCACTCGCATTGGGTTCTACCAAAACAATATTACACACACACACACACACACACACACACACACACACACACACACACACACACAAAAAAAAACAGCCCAACACAAGCACATTTCGTCCATCCATCCACCTCAACATTTGGGTATCAAATTTCACAACTCTGCATCCGCGGCATATCAATCAACCAGACCAACCCCCAAATCCTCGCTCTCGCCTCCGTCAACGTAGTCCAAAGCGAGTAATTAACCGCAAATCTCGTGAATCTAGGATTCGCCACCCACGTCAACAACGCAGATGTCCGCGTCGGAATACGCACGCGATGCCGTGTATCAGGCGTTGGTATGGCTTCCGGGTCCTCAGCCAACGAGCGACGCTGCAGCTCCTCCGCCCTTATATCCTCTTCATCCGCCATTGCCCACCAAAAGAGCTTGCTAATCGGTTCTTCGCCTTGTAACAGCGCAGTGTTAAAATTGTCTTGATTAGGTATTGACTGCTGCAGAAACTTGAGGTATGATTTCAGTGCCCTTACAACATCGTTGGACCGACAATCAGGAATTTGCTTGCTGTCTCTCCAGATACGCGAAGTGTGGTAGGGATGGCCCACTTCCCGGACGTTGCCTAGGTCAGCGAGGAGCCAGTCTGAGGGGCTTTGGAGGAATATGTTGGTGGGCTTGACATCGTCGTGGCAGTAGCCTGCGTTGTGGACGGCGGCTAGGATGGAGAGGAAGCGGTTGAATGCGGGGCGGTAGAGGACGTCGGCGGTGCGGTAGGATTTGATGCTTGGGTCGGTGGAGAGCTTCTGGGCGAGTGTGAGAAGGTCACCGCCTTCTGCTAGAGGGGTGACTAGGTGCCATTCTTCTGGACTTCCGGGCGAGTTGGATGCTATGAAGTGGGCCTTGACGGGGAGGAAGCCTTTGTATCTTGGCTTTGCATTTCCATCATCGTCAGTTCCATTGGCAGCAGTCGAAGTAGAGCCTCCAAAGTAGAGAGTCGCGGGTATTTCTGTTGGCCATCTATCGATTGGATAGCTAGGAGGAGCGCAGTTTCGGAAAGGACTTCGTACTGTGTCAAAGGTCTTAATTACAGAGTCCTTGTAGACATACACACGTCCCTCCCAGCCGTTTCCCATAAGCTTCCAATGCTTGCGGTTGTCTAAGAGATTGGCTATGAATTGTGGATCTTCATTTTCCGGTCCCCATGAGTACATGTGCCGATTGTGGATGCGTAGGTTGAAGTTGGTCGCGACGGATTTCGCTCTTAGGTCGAACTTGGTCGGGACGTATTTCGCTCGTAGAGCTTCTCGGCTGACTAGGGAATAGTGTTGCTGGTAGAGAAGTGCAGCGATAAAGAATATAATGAGTAAACGGTGGCGAACACGGTAAAATGCTCGCACTCTTGGGGATGTTAAGCTGAGAAGAAGATGCCCCATAGATATTGATGTAAGAGGGAGTTGTAGAGACTGGGACGGTAAGGCGTGGGTGAAGAGTTGTACCCGTAACGCTCGAGGAAGCAGGGGAAAGTGCAACTTCTGAATGTTTGCTTGGGTAGTTACTGCCTGTTTGCTCAAGTTGGGAGATACAAGTCCGTAATATGATATACTGACCCAAATTGACCACTTGTTGGAAAAGAAGTGGCTATTGTGAGCCTATACAGCATGCTAGAATCCATAAATTTACCCAAAGATATTGATTTGGTTCAGGGTATTGCGCTTGTGACGTGGGTGATTAGGTGTGAGCCACTTGATGATAGTAAGACTTGGCTTCAGGAAACAAGGAAGTAGAGAGTTGGGTCGGCTCAGCCACAACATAGCCGGCTCGCCTTGATGTTCTGCCACGATGAGAGGTCAGTGATACTGCGCCAGCGGGCCTTATCGACTGAGATCCACCACGATGCTAACAAGGCACCATGTATATGTACAAAGTGTCATGTCTTGATTCGAACCAATCAAGCAGTGCGCAATTTGCTCGACACGGATGGCAAATGCCGTCCGCGAGCCCTCTAAGAGCCTCGCGCATGCACTATACAAGCTGGCGGCATTAAAGTGCCGTGGTGTCGTGAACAGAGGAGCCGGGGTGACGTCAAGGATACGCTGTCTCGCGTCCCCGCAGCCGTCCAACCCCCGGGCGACCCACGCGATCAACTCTCAGGGTCCCGCATTCCCGTGCAAGCCTCGCCGTCTGATCCCACATCCTTGCACCACAAATCACAGCCATGACTACCGAAGCTCGTTCTGCGCAGAATCGGACGCAGCTGATTGCCCATTTTGACGATTACAAGTAATACTGACGCAGCCAATGGATATGTTCAGCAGAACTAACGCTGAGTCAGAACACGCGATGCGCAAAGCGACGGGTGGACCAAACTCTGGGAAAAAGACGAAGCGCACCTGTGGGATCGCGGTAGACCTTCTCCTGCATTACAGTCGTTCCTAGAGACGCATCCGTACCGTGAGACGCTGTTCCGAGAGGGGGAGAAGCGACCACTCAAGGCTTTTGTTCCTGTATGTAAAATACCCTCGACAGGGCCAATTGTTTCAAGCAAAGTGACTCAATTCCATAGGGCTGTGGTAAAGGCCACGATGTCGCTCTGCTAGCACGCTACGGCTATCAAGTATGGGGCCTGGAAGTCTCGCAAACAGCCGTTGATACGGCGAAGGAAAACATCAAGACGCAGCTCAACAGCTCTACTAACCATGGTACCACGGATGTGGTTCTCGGTGACTTTTTCCAAAAGGGGTACGAGGACCAGTTTGGGCCGGATTTTCGGGGTTTCGATCTCATCTATGACTACACGGTAGGTCGCGTGATGAGGGTTGTGAAGACGTGGGCTGATGATGCTAGTTTCTCTGTGCTTTGCTGCCGGAGATGCGCAAGGACTGGGCTGAGCGGATCAAGAGTCTCCTGGCGCCGACGGGTGTGCTCGTGTGTCTCGAGTTTCCCATGTGGAAGCCGCTCAAGGCACCGGGTCCGCCGTGGGGTCTGAATGGCGTGCACTGGAATCTGCTGGCTGATGGTGGAGATGGCACGGTTGATGAGTCTGGAAAGCTTGTTAGTGGTGGGAAAGACCAGGGCAGCTTTGAAAGAGTCGTGTACTGGAGCCCGCCTGAGTCGTTTGAGCAGAGTCGTGGTGAGGACATGATTAGTGTGTGGAAGCTGAAGTAGTAGGTTGTATATGTATCGAGTTGTTGGATATATGTGCGTACTTGCAGGAAAAGTTTACAAGTGGTGGATTTTACTACACCAGAGAAGTCTTACGTAGATTCGTAGAATATCTAGAACCGCAAAAATAGTCACTGTGGTGAACACAGCAGCATATTTGGGCAACTCCTACCAACAACACTATGCTCCACTGCAAAAAAGAATGGTCACTACGAGGGTCGAACTCGCGACCTTGGCGTTAACTGAAGGCCCTCTCCAGGAACATAGTCTCTGGCGATGGATTATTAGCACCACGCTCTAACCAACTGAGCTAAGCGACCTTTTGACCTTCAGGAGAAGGAGCGGGTGTGGAAGCTGCCTGCTCGAAACAAGCTGGAGGCTGAACACCGCGCTGTTGGTTGTTGTTGATGGAAGTTTTAAAAATCAAAAAAAATATATTCCAGAAGAATTTGCACGCCGGTGAGATTGAACTGGTGGGGCTTGAGAACTGATGTAAAGGTGGGGGGGTCACACCACATAGTCGGAACCAAACATGGGTCAAGTGGGTGTGGGTGCAAAAGGACCCCACCATCGGCAGATGCAACAGCCGCAAGGGGTTAGTCCAGTTCGTGTTGAGAGATACTCGTAGGTCCAACATTTCACCTTGTATCTGGCCAACCAAGACACGCTTTGAGAGTGGTTAGTGAGCCAAATCAACATCAGACACGCACGTCTTCACGGAAACGTCGAGACCAATGTTCATCCAAAAAAAATGTAGTCGAATTAAAATCGTGTACCAATCAAAACGCCTCCCCAGCGAGGTCTTCAGCAAGACCTTCCAACTCTTCTTGTCTAAACGGAACCCACAGCCGCTCTGTGCCCATGCCATCTTTCCGGCTCTCAATCATCTGATGATCGTGAAACTCCTTGAGCAAGGTTCTAAAACTAACTTCACTGGTGCATACAAAGGCCTCGACAGCCTTGTGGTATAGGACGCGGTACTCCACGCCTTGGGTTGATTCTGGCAGAGCATTCTTTGCTTGTGCGCCCTTCAACTTTGGCGTGGCAGTGACGTCGTCGTCTTCGTCTAGGTCCATGCCTTCCATCATAGATAGAGCAAGTTGCTCCATGACCAAGATGCGGAACAGTTCTCGCGCTTGTTCCGGCAGGGAGCGCAAGACGAAGCCCACACCGTCTCTGCCGCCCACTCGCCTGCCGCTGCGTCCAAGAAGCTCGTTGACAGTCTCGACAGTGTCCATCTCGGCGTCGTAGGACGCAAAGGTAGTCGCATCGTGAAACAAAAACTTGTATTGTGTTTTGAGACCGACATCCCACAGCAGAGGAAAGTTTGGTGTGTCTGCTGTACATATGAGATTAATAGAGGGGTGACTGGCTAGTCGGGCGAGCATGGACGGCAGCGGGGTTTTCCGGAGGTAGGGCGAGTCGATAGAGTTCAAGACGACGGGTACTGGATGCGATGGTGGATTGCTGGTCAGGTGCTCCAAGATGAAATCGAGCAGCACCGTGGGCTGGTTAGGCAGCTTCAAGTTCGCTGGCACAACAGCCGATGCGACCGTCGTCAGGAGTTCCTTGATTGTAGTACCGGCGACATAACCGTTTATGACTACAATCTTTGGCGTCTTCTTTGTTCCCTCATAAGGCGCGCGGTCGAGGAGGGAGTGGTAGAGATGGGCTGTGAAGCGTTCTGTGATGATGCGCTTCGAGCCATAGCCGTAGAGACAGATGTTGAAACCCTGTTCGAGTTCGAATATCCACTGGTCGTATGCGCGGCCATGCAGTTCCAGCAAAAAGTCTATTTCAGCCTGGTGAGAGTCTTGGTATGCTTGTATTGACTGAAAGTACTCATCGTGGCTAAGGAGACTCTGTGCGGATAGTGTGTTGTTGGATGTCTTTGTGCCTGCAGGGCGGTTCTGCCAAAAGTACTCCTCGTGTGGAGGTAGTTCGGTCGGCGGAGTAGGCGAGCGTTGCTTTCGTGGTCGGCCTACTTTGCCAGATCCCTTTGGTCGACCCCTTCCACGCTTCGAGGGAGTCTCGGGCACAGGGGCTTCTTCTAGGGGTGCGTCCTCGGTGGACGGTTCTACCTCGTCGGCAGGCTCGTCGAGAATTTGTTGGGCGAGTTCATCCTCTTCGTCAAGGACATCCTCGTCACTGTCTATTCCATTCAATGTCCGCTCGAGCATGCGCCTGTTGCTCTTCCGACGTGCACTTCGGTCGGCATTGCGGACGAGGGTTGGAGTGCCGTCTGGGGAATCACGTTTGGCAGATTTTGTCGGAGTTTCAAAGACAAGTTTCCTGGCGGACTTTGGGGTGGCAGCGACTGCATTGGGGAAGCCGGACTTTTTCAAGATGGATCGAGGGGTGCCATGCTCGGCCAGGTATGTCCTCCCCTTTCTCGAGGGCGTATGGGCTTCGGGGGGATCCTGGTTGTCTGGCACATGGTCGGCTATGCGGGCGCGCAGTTTTTGCGGGGTGCCGTCGTCATTCTCGTCGTCGTCGTCGCGTCTTCTCTTTGTGCCAACCATGTCTGGGGTGTGGTGAAATGGGTTGGCGAGATGGGTTGATGGTGACGCGACTTAGGCGACAGTGATGCTTGGCGCGCGGCGGAGGCTCAAACGCCTCGCAGTGTGCGGGGACCAGAGCAAGAGGGCGCGAGCATCATGTGCCACGGGCGAGGACGGGGTATCCATCACGGCGGATGTTACCCCTTGGTTGGGAGCAGCTGGCCAATGCAGTCGAGGCAGCCATCTGATGTCCACCAGGGAGGGTGCAGATTGCGCGTGTGGCCGCACACGGCGTGCTTAGTAGGATGCAAGCGTACTCCTGGCAGGGCTGCAGACAGACGACCGACATGTGACGATGGCGTGGTGCAGTTGCTGCCATGGCCAGGGCCGACGTCACGGGACGGGCGGTGCATTCATCGCCATGCACACTGCCTGTGTGTGTTTGTACTCTACATATGCATGTAACGGGGAGAGAGGGAAACCGTTGGCCAGAGCTGCATGCAAGTTATCCAAGCATGCTGCCACTGGGCCGTCCAGACTCCACGCAACGTGTCCGGCGGGCCGTCTTCTGTAAGTAAGCAAGCGTCGGGGTGCAGTGTGAGTGTGCAGCAACCATGACGGGCTGATTCAGATGAGCGGGCAGATGACAGATCCCATGTGCAGCATTCAAGCACTTCTGTCTCGGCGTGCTACTTTGGTGTCGCGTCACGCAGCGGGCGAGACAGGAGACAAGAGGCTACAAATAGCTGGCCAGGCGGCTGTGTAGTGCAGTGCTGGGCTGGGCTGGGCTGCAGACGATCCGTCCATACATAGGCGTGCTGATGATCTCACCCACGGCGCTGCCCGCGCCTGTTCGTTTTCCGTCGTCTTCATCCGCGACTGCCCCGCACAAGCCCGAAACTTCACCTCCACACCTGTCCCAACCACGCCCTCGGCCACTCCACCACTCTCGACTCCCACAACGCCGCCGCTCGACCCCAGACTCCCTCACTACTGCTCCTGCTGCTGCTGCTGCCACCATCCCCGCCCGCCTCGCATCCCCGCCTGCTGTCTCTCCCCCCGTCCGCTCCCTTCCCCCTGCGACTCGCCCCCAACCAAACGCCGTGTGGCGCTCTCCCGCGCTCCCTGTCTCCAGCTCGGCCTCCAAGCACTTTGCTACTGCCACCATGGAACAAAGACGGCGGCCAGAGTACAACCTCGACATCTTCGCGGATGCTGCCTTTGTCAAGGATGTCGTCAAGGGTAAGTCTTTTCCCTTGTTTGTTTTTTCTTCACCTTCTGGCCCGGTCTCTCCCGTGAGTGTGTCCTGACCGCCCGACAGCAATCCTGCACACGATTTTCTTTCACCGGTACTTTACCTCGATATCGCCCCTGACACGCGACCTGCTCGACCTGACGCTGCCCGCCATCGACGATGTCGACCTTGAGACGCTTATCGAGCAGAAGACGTTTGCGCTCGTGCGCTCCATAGACAGCACCCACCAGCCACGCGGACGAGGTCAGATTGTCGTCCAGTTCTTTGAGAAGAAGCGGAGAAAGACGTACTTTTTCGGAAAGGCAGACGAAGACGTTTGCTGGGAGCAGTGGACGCTTGACGTGACTCTCGCCCAGCCCCGGACCGAGACTGGTACGTAGCAGCCCAACCAACCCTCCAACTCCTGCCAACCCGCTAATCCACGCCACAGATGCCCTCAAGGTCCGTCGCGCAATGACAAAGTCGCTGGAAAAGGCCGCGCACAAGATCATCGCCATCGTCAACCGCGACAAAGACCACATTCCTCCCATCACCACCACCGACGCCAACCCCTTTCCCTACCAGATTGTCGTCAACCCAAAGTCTGCTGAGAACGACTGGCGGCCCCGCATCGGTCTCTTCTAACCTCGAAACCATCTGGCGGTGAAAGAAAAAATCAAAGGAAACGCAACTGTATATATGTATTACCTTGCACCATTCCCGGGCAAGACCAGGTTCAACACGAGTAGGATGTAATATCTTGTCGTTCACTGCGACATAAAAGAGACGGAAAAAGCCCTCGATTCCACATACCGGCCGTACTAGAGATGGGCCGCGGCGTTTTCTTTTTTGCGAAACCTCCATTTCCTTTCCCCCTTTCGCCGCCGCCGCCACCACTCCCAAAAGCTCCACTGTACAGTGTCCGCCATGTCGGGCAACCTTTCCCCCCTCAAGTAAACCTTGCGAACCACCTGTATCGGAAAGTCCCAAGAACATGAGCGTTTTGATTGTTTGTTACCTGTTTGCTGCTATAGCTACACAAGATACCCCAATTCCCCAAATGAAATTATATTTTTTATGAAATACTACGGCGAGGATGTGGTTACTCGAGTCTCCCGGTGCGTGAATCTTTGATAATAATGGTCGTATGTTGATATGCCAGCTACCCAAATACACCCAACTATCGCATCATTCATTCCGCTTCTCCGCCCACTCAACCCACCTCTTCACAACCTCATCCACCTTCTTGATCCCCTCCCTCGTCGCCTCGACCTCAAACCACTCCTTGTGGCTCTTCCCACACGCCTCACACTGCTTAATCACCCGCTGCTCCCCCAATTCCAAATGAATCATGCGCTCCACTCGATGTGCATGCGGTACCTTGCGCACTCCCGCTGCCGCCCCTTCACCCCCAGTTTGCAACTTACCATCAGCACCACCCGCTGATCCCCGCCCCTGATGCGACGGCTGCCTCGACCCCGCAGGCGATGGCGTCGCAGACGAAACATGCGGATAGTACCGCACAAGCGAAAGACTATACCCGCATTGTCTCGTCCACTCATTCATCCGCCGATGCACATTATTCGCCCTGCCTATCTTGAGTAGGATTGTATCTTTCCCTCCCTTCTCTCCCTTGTCCCCACCTTTCTCGCCCTTTTTCTCCTTCACAGAATACTGCCTCATGACATCCGACGTCCGTCTCCTCGACCCTTCTCCCCGTGGCGCCAGCAAATTACTGGCTGCGGATGCGGGCGCCGGGCCCGCGGCTTCGGGCGTGAGCCAGAAGATGTAGATGAAGCCTTCTTCGTCGTGAGGGGAGATGGGCTTGGAGAGTTCGGCTAGCAGGGTTGAGGCGAGTTTCGGGGGGACGGATGTGGGGATGTAGCGCAGGAGTGTGGCGGTTTCGGAGTCGGAGCTGGGGTTGTTGGACTTGTTGACGGGGCGCGAGGGCTTTTCAGAGAGCGGCTTGCGCGAGCTCGAGGGGCGCGAGTGTTGGCTGCTGCTTTTGCGGGATTGGCCTTGTACACGCGGTGGTTGTGGTGGTTGTGATTGTGGTTGTGGGATATCTTGCATGGGTGTTTCTGTTTGAGTCGGTTCTGCTGGCGGCGGCTGCTGCTCTGTCTTCTTCTTGTGCCGTGTGGGTTCTACAACCTCCTCATCTGCAGATCCACAGCACAGCGATGCCCAGAAGCCTAGCTTTTTCACTGCTGGTGGTGCCGATTTCGATGGCCGGTCTCTTCGTTTCCTGTCTGCCATTACATCGCTGGGTACAGACATCAGAGGGCCCTGGACAGCATCCCACGTCGGTGGCCGGTTGATTCGCCTGGGCGGTCGAGACCCAGATCGTCTTCTATGGCCACTGCTCCTCCTCTTGCGTGGAGCAGCTTCGTTCTGCTCCTCAACATCCAGAACACCCAGCCGTTGCACCAGTGTATCAATGCTGGTCCTCTCTTTCAGCGGGTATAACTCGGTCGCTGGTCCCGTCGATTCTTTCGCTGCCAGCGTTTCCGCCTGGTCTTTGTGCTGCCAGCAGAAATACGCCGCTGCGCCAATCTCCTCCCCGCTATCATCTCCAGCTACAGACGTTACGGCGAGGACACCATCGCCTTCAGGCTCCTTCGCGTCGATAGGCCGTTTGCATGGTCGCCCGGATTGTGTAAGGCCTTTGCACGTGGTCGCCGGATTTCGCGAGTCTGAGCGAGGAATGAGCGACTCCGGTGTCACTCCAGTAAACATGTTTGATGTAGAAATGCGGTTTCCGCAACTAGGAATGTTTTGGAACGTTGGAAAGTTGAATTGGGAACAAAAAGCCGTAGATTTCTAAAAGGTAGGGAGCTTCGACGCGTCCATCACGGCGCGTCCATAAATTCACAGCCACATCGTCTCAAGAAGCATCAAGGGCAGCGCATGGCTGTGAAATGTCAAGTGGAGCGTGTGTGACGACAGAGAGGCCCACTCTGTCATCCAAGATTGTCGTCAGCCAGCGCATTATGAGCCAGCAGTCATAGCGTCCGTGTCGGCGCGTACCTACCAAGAAATGGCGGGACTAGGCCCGTTTGTGGCGGTGCTTGTGGCGCAGCTTCACCAAAAGGGCAGAGGCAAGAAAGCGCACCGCCACAAACGTTCCAAAGCACCTCTCCACAAGACTTGTGCAAAGACACCCACGTGGCAAGAGAAGTAGTGACAGCATGTACACAAAGACGCGCTACTGTCGTTGCTGCTACTGCCAGCAACTGTCTCCATCTTCAACTTGGTCCAGAGCGCAAAAAGAGATCCAACCTCAACAGCGAGAACCAACGAAAAAGCAAAAAGACATCCAGAAACCGAGCACCAGGTCCAGAATCAAAAAAGACGAAAAAGAAATCTTGCATCGGCCGGGAATCGAACCCGGGGCTAGCCGAAACTGTTCTCGAGGAGAGATGGCAACGGCTAATTTTACCACTAAACCACCGATGCTAGGGATATCAAGATAATAGAAGCTGGTACTTCCTTTGATGAAAGTTCGAGGGCTTAGACATATTATATTTCTCAGGATGTGCACCTCGCGTGAGGCTGGTTCAACCCCGGACTCTAGCTGCAAATGGTAAGGCTCGATGCGAGACAGTCTCTCGAGTCGAGACTACCATTGCGCACTAAGAACGAACGTAGGGCCGCTTGTACGGGCTAGTAAGCAACGTGGTCACAAAATGTCTTAGATTACAAGGATGGACGAAGCACCCAAGCCTAAGCAGCTCGACTCTCTTCTTGTATTTCACCGGATCAGCGTTAGTAGCTCTATCGTGGCTCAATGCGGTGAGCTGTACAACGCAGACACAACATCTACGAATAACCGTAGCCTCGCTCCTCCCGCTCTGTGATAATAGACCTGCTGCATGGATAGAACATGTGCTGCCACAAAACCATTGCTAAGAGGACTCATGTAGTCATCATTGGCAGAGTCGGCGGGTGTCCGGAATGGCGAGTCTGACCAGTGTTACACCATCTTTTTTGTCGCTCTGGCCTCTTACATGATAAGCGTTTAATATCAAACAAAAGATAGGCGGTAAGGAATCGGCGGTCCGAATTCGAGGTAAAGTCATCCGACGCAGCTATGGTCTGAGTGATACCCTTGTCGCTAAGGATCTCCTAAGTGTTGGCATGCCGGAAGCGGCGATGTACCGCGCTGCAGGGGAACCAAAGTGCGGATCCCACCGCGGTATGCTTCCGTCCACCGAAACATACGCTCTCCCCGCACATTGGCATATCGCACCCAACTTATAAATCAGCACGCTTGGTAAACGTCTAGATCCGTAGTTAGGCAAAAGATAACAATTCCATTTGTATGAAAAAAGTTACCGAGCCGGGTGTTGCTGCGATATGCTTTCGATAACCCACGCACTAAACTGCTTGCAGGAGGTCCATGCGATTCCTCCTAACACACGATAGCGGATACTACTAGTCGAGACCCCGCCTGTCGCGGTAGACAACCGCGGAATGTATGATCCATGTATAGACTGGAATATGCGATGATAAAAAGGAAGGATAGCCTGTGTGTTGGGTGAATTTTTAGTTTCTAATTTACCATCTTTCCTCTACCTCCTCTTGCATTGGCAAGGTAGACCAATTCCTTTTTTCGTAAATTCATAGATCGTCAACCATCATGGCGCCTCACCCCTTCAAGAGCATCTCTCCAGATGAGATACGCGTCGCTCGCGATGTCATCCGCTCACTCTACAAAGACTCTCTCATCAACTTTCGGGAAATCTTCATCCAAGAACCAAACAAAGAGGCAATGAAGCAATTTCTCGAACTTGAACATGCTGCCAAGCCAGGTCATTCTGCGGCCACCAAACGACCGCCACGATTGGCAAAGGTCCAGTACGATGTGATTGGATCTGACAAGATTCCTCAGTACAACGAGTCAGTCGTTGATGTTGAGCAAAAGAAGAGAGTCCGACACCAGTCTTTTCCAAAGGATATCCAGTCCAGTCTGGCCTTGTGGGAATTCGCTGATCTTGTTCAAGCATGCAAGGAGAGCGATCTGTTCCAAAAGGCTGTGGCTGAGTTCCAACTACCTGAAGGATTTGAGCTGATTGTTGAGCCATGGTAAGAATACCTTTTACCCTTCTCTTCGACTACATGCTAATTGCGCTAGGCCACACGGTCCAGTTGACCCCGAATTCGAGAAGACCAGATACTTCCAAGGTCTCTGCTTTGCTCAAGATATGAGGAACGGAAACCCAGACTCCAACTTCTACTCATACCCAGTGCCTATTATTCCCATCATGGACGCAGCAACAAAGAAGATTGTCCGTGTCGACCGCTTGGCTACGGGTGGAAAGGAAGATGGCCTGACGGCTCAGACTTGCTCTCCACGTGTCCTGGACCACTGTGAGCCGGCCGAGTATGTTCCCGAGATGGTTGCTGGTGGACTCCGACAGGATGTCAAGCCCATCAACATCGTACAACCCGACGGTCCTTCATTTAGAGTTACTGATGAATCACTCGTTGAATGGCAAAAGTGGCGCTTTAGGGTATCCTTCACCCCCCGTGAAGGAGCAGTTCTTCATGACGTCCATTACGATGGACGAAGCATCATGTACCGCATGAGCATCAGCGAGATGACTGTGCCCTACGCCGATGCTCGTCCAGGCTACCACCGCAAG